ATGCCCCATGATTTGCCAATTGCTCTTTTACACGAGTATAAGGCCGCAGCCGCTTTTGATACTCTAGATTGAGTGTTCAAATGCCATGATAGTTTTGAATCTAGGATTACTCCCAGATATTTAGCACTATCCGATAACTTCAATTCTATCCCATTCAGTCGTGGGAGAGTGAAGGTGGGTATCTTGTACTTCTTAGTGAAGAGAACAAGTTCCGTTTTCGATGGATTAACACCAAGGCCACTGACGTTGCTCCATGTACTGAGTGTCCTGAGTGCAATCTCCATCCTTTGCGATAAAGTATCCAGATATTTGCCAGATACTACTACAGACACATCGTCTGCATATGCTATTACCTTAAATCCCATAGATCTAAGATCCATAAGAAGTGGGTTCAACGCTAGGTTCCACAGAAGTGGAGATAGAACTCCACCTTGTGGGGTACCGCGATTTGCCACTTTTGTGACATTTGCTGCTCCCATTTCGGAGATAATGATTCGCTGAGTCAGTAATCTCTTGATGAAAGCTGTTATTGGTTGGTTTATACCCAGACCAGTTAGGGCCGTTGTTATCGACCCAGGGTGAACATTGTTGAAAGCCCCCTCGATGTCCAAGAAGGCAACCAGTGTATATTCCCCTTGCGCTATTGTCTTTTCAATGTGACAAACTAGCGAATGTAATGCAGTCTCAACAGATTTTCCCTTCATGTAGGCATGTTGAGATGCTGATAAATGGTCAGGTTTGATATGTATTCTGAGATGCAGATCAATTATCCTTTCCAAAGTTTTGAGAAGAAAGGAGGATAGACTAATTGGTCTAAAATCCTTTGGCTTCGTGTGAGAGGTCTTTCCTCCTTTCGGAATGAAGACCACTGTGCACTTGGTCCAGGGTTCGGGTATATAAGACCATTTTAAACAGGCATCATATATCCGCGTTAGCCAAGGCATAAGATGGACAGCATTGTATTGCAAATCCGCAGGTATTATACCGTCAGGACCCGGTGATTTGTAGGGGTCGAAGCTGTTTATCGCCCAGTTGATTTTATCTTCATTTATGGATATTCTTGTATCAGCTGGGAGATCTGTAAACTGCATGTCAGTCCCGTTTTCCGGAGATTGACAGCCTGGAAAGTGAGTGGCCATTAAAACTTCTAAGGTTTCTTGGCTACTGGTCGTCCAACTGCCACAAGGTTTCTGAATGAAACTTGGGACAGGAGGAGTAGATGATAAGATTTTGCGCAGACGACTGGTCTCAGAAGAACCTTCCACGCCGCTACAGAAGGTTTTCCAAGATTTGCGCTTTGCATTTCTTACCAGGTTCTTGAAACGATTAACCGAGGTCTTATAAGAAATCCAGTTTCCTGTTTTCTTTGCCTCGTTAAACAGTCTGCGCGTCTCTTTTCGAGATTTCGCAATGTCCGCAGACCACCATGGGGGCCTGCATCTGCCTTTGTGCATATTCTGTTTACAAGACAGTGAAGTCGCGTGTTTGAAAGCTTGATTTATGGTTTCAACCGCGTTTTCTATGTCCGATCGGTTTTCGATGATCGGTACATCCTGGAGTGAACGTGAGATTAGCCCCATTTGCATTTCCCAATCTGTTCGTCTCCTGTTTATAAAGGGCTTTGGGGCCACTTTGTCAACTACGATTTCAAAATCGATGTACTGATGGTCAGAGAAAGAGCAGTCACTTGAGACTCTCCATCCCCTTATCCTATCATGATGCATAGAACTAACCAGCGTAATGTCAAGAACTTCCCTTCTGTTTGAAACAATAAAGGTCGGTTCGGATCCTGTATTTAAAATATCAAGATTATTGCTTAGAATGAAGTTAAAGATTGACTCACCTCTAGCGTTTATGTCCGAGCTTCCCCAGACAGTGTGATGGGCATTGGCATCAGCCCCCATGATGATCGGCATGCTTTTCGAGTTTGCCATCTCTATGGATCTGCAGACCAGGTTGTTCGGTGGCTGGTCGCTGTGGTCGTGAGCCATGTACGCCGAGATAACCAATATAGCACCTACACTGGTCTCCCATATGGCTGCTACGGTGTCTTCATCACTGAAATCAGAAAGAATGAAGATGTTAAGACTGCTTTTGGCTACTATACAGGATCGAATCTTACCAGATCCTTTTGCGTACAATAGCTTAAAGCTTTTCATGCCTAGTCCACTCACCCTTTCTTGGTGAATCCAGGGTTCCTGGACTAGGGCGAGCTCCTCCCCACTTACACCCATTCGGAGGAGCAGTGCAGCCGAGGCTGCTTTGGAGTGGTGGAGATTAATTTGGGTTACTCTCACCATCTCCTTTTTTGTCTTTACGCAACACTGTGACGTTGGCGTCCTCCTTGTCAGAGGCAAGGAGATCGTCCTCGTCAACTGACTCTTCCCCCTCCTTAACCAACTTAGAAGTTGATTGACTCAGCGAAAGGTCAGTCTCGTCGCAAGACATATCCGCAGCGGATTGGTCAGGATCGGGATCATCCTGTTCCAATAGTCCCTTGTCATCGCCTCGGTAGACACGGAGGAAGATCGACTCGAAGCCGTAGTAGACCTTCCCTTGTTTCTCGCGAAGCGGCGCCAAAGACTCCTGGTTCAGGATCACAACAATCCTTCTGGAGCTTCCTACGGGTTGAGAAACCCTGACGACCTTCCAATCTTGAGTTGGAAGATCCGGATTGCCAACCTGTAGAAGCTCCAGTATCGCTGCCTTTTTATGTGGTTCCGCAGGAATTATGGCGGTGGATCTAGGCCTTCGTGGGATCTCGTCCACAGAGACCACTTCCAGCTTAGCACCTTCCCACGGATCCTTTATCAGCGACACAGCCTGCTTCAGGAGCAAAGCTGAGCGCTCGTTGGAACAGGCCATTAGCTTCACTCTGTTGTGAAACCAACCGCCGTCCTCACACTGTGGGGGGGGACCAGGGTTCTGTTTAAGAACTTCCCAGAACACCCCCATCAGCTTTTTTCGCACTATGTCCCATCTGGATGGAGACATAGCGCCATCTATGTCACCCCTGTCGATGACAGCACGCGTGAATTGGTTCTCAACCACTTCACCGGAGGTCCTGTCATGCGGCTTGGGGGGCAACGGTTTCGGACGTTTTGTCCCGGGCTGCTGGCCCTGAAGATTAGTCTCCTCCTCAGAACGTTGCCGTTTAGGCGCGTCCTTAGACGTGAGGGGGGGACTCTTCTCCAGAACGGCCAATTTTCCCTTAGCCCATTCTAGAGAGGACTTGTCCTCTTTACTTAGTGACTCAACTGGCTTGCCAGCTAAGCGCGCTAGAATTTTGGCGGCGGAGCGCCGTTGTAGGAAGGCCCTTCTTGCTGGTGTTACGTGCCTGGGGGTCTTACTATTCGCCGTGTTGGCATTGGGAGATGCCGTTTGAGAACCCGAAATCTTGTTCGCAGTTCCCTCGTGCATAACCGGCACTGGGGTTGCTACCTTGGTTTTGGTGGCCTTAGTAGTCCCCGAAACAGGGGGTTTTATCGGCATTTTGCCAATACGGACCTGAGCTGCCTTTGAGGTACTTGGGGTGACGTCCAGAGGTGCCTCGCTGCTTATTTTGCTGCATCCAGCTGGACTAACCTGGGTGGCAGTAGCACTCGACTCTCCACAGCCTGTCGCCTTCGCCGTGGGGGTAGGGTCTCCGGAGATTATTAGGCCCCTTACCGGATACGCGGGGCACGGTTTCTTGTCGGACATTGGACATTAAAAACGGTGTGCATTTTATACTTGCTGCCAAGTATATGATTCTGCATATGATGTGCTTGCAGACCACCAAGCCGCCCAATGTGGGAACAGACGCTGGTGGATTTAGACGGACCGTCGTGGAGTTTAGGGATCTAAAGATCCCGAACGGACTGTACTGTCAAAAGATACACATCCGAAGGATGAGTAGAGATCTTTTGACAAGTACTTGGACTGGTAGCCGCCCCATCGGGGAGAAACAGACGCTGCCAGTCGTGGGAAGGGTAGTTCTTAGTATGTGCTCGTCATGAGCCCCTCTGGCATGGGTAGCCCTACCAGCACGGCCTGCATGGGTCATCACACATAAGCCTTCGCATCGCGTCAAGATGACTACCCGTCGCGAAGGGAGATCTAAGGAATGATATGAAAATATTAACAACATTTTAGATTAGGTTCGTCAGTCTGTGGATAATAGTTTTATACAGAATCTGGAATATAGTCTATAGTCTAGACTATGATTTCAACTATAGCCCAGACTATAGTTTGATCTTTAGTTCAGACTATAGTTTGATCTATAGTCCAGGCTGTAGTTTGATCCTTTATCCAGGCTATAGTTTCATATTGGCAGACTATAGTTTGATCTATAGATTAGATCTACAGATCAGACTATAGTTTGATTTATAGACAAGACTACAGGTTGTTTGATCTATAGACCAGACTATATTTTCATCTATGTACCAGATTATAGTTTGTTCTCTAAACCAGATTATAGCTTGATATATAGTCTGATCTATAGTCCAGACTATAAACCAGATTATATCTTAATGAATATATCAGACTATAGTTTGATCTATAGACCAGATCAGATTATTTTTTGATCTATAGGCAACAGTATACTTTGATCAATAGATCAGATTACAGTTTAACTGTAGCTAGATAGTTTGATCAATAGATTAGATAATTTTGATCTGTAGTTTGATCTATAGATTAGAAATTAGTTTAATCTATATATTAGACTATAGTTTTGATCTATAGACCTATATATATAGTTTATTTTTTATCCCAGATCTTTGTGTGAAAAAAAAGATATAAACATTTTAGAAGTTTCACTGCCAGAATCAAAATTGGAAGCTCCCAGTACTTTAATATTGATTAAGAGCTCTAGTTATAAGTCCTTGAAGATTTAAAGGTCTCTTTAACCCAATTCAGTTCTCGATTTACCAACTTTGTCTAAATTATGTTTTATTTCTAATTTTTATTTAAATTATTATTTATTTTTTTATTTTAAAAATTTTTAATTTCTTTCTAAAAAGCTGGTACATCGTGGTCTGCTAAACATTCGGATTTTGATCAACGTTTAATAATCGATTTGGGTAGTGTTAAAAATGTAACACATATTGCTCTGCAGGGAAGACCACATAGTAATGAGTTTGTTACAGAATATGCCATAAGTTATGGTATAACAGATTTAGAATTTGCCGATTATAAAGAACCGGGTGGCAATATAAAGGTAAGAAACAGGGAGAGCCCCTTAAATAAATAACAAGGAAATTTTAATTATATTATTAAAACAAAAAAAGGTGAAGGATTCCCCAATAAATTATTTATAATTTATAAAACGCACTAATGTGTAAATAATTTTGCAATTTTATTTTATTTATTTCAAAGCACTTTTTAATTAATTAATTTTTTTATTTAATTAGTTTTGCCTTTTATTTAAAGTAATTTATTTTCTTTTTTTTATTATAGTACAAATTTATTTCTTTAACATTTCAAAGTATATCATCTCTCTTTATTGTCATTCATTAACTAATTAACTTAATTAACCTCTTACACCTCTTAACCTTCTTTGCTATCATTCCAATTAACTTAATAAATAATGAATAAAACAAAAATCAAAGGTAATTCGGCATGGACACCTGTTGAAAATACTTACAATCACTTTTTAACCATTGATTTGGGTTATAAAAGCACTACCCGTAAAATTGCCACTATGGGACGTCCACTAACCAATGAATATGTTACCGAATATATTGTACAATATTCTGATGATGGTGAATATTGGCGTTCCTATGTTAATCCATCTAGTGAGCCACAGGTAATTAATATATAATTTATTGTTAATGATGTTTATTTTGTCCACGTTTTCTTTATTGGAAATTGTATTTGTCCTTTAAATTGATGTGTTTGGAAAAAATTTTGGACAGATATTTCACTTCTTGTGAGTTTAATCATTAGTTCTAAATAAAGTCTGATCTATAGATCATATTAAAGTTTGATATATGGATCAGACCTTTACATAGTTTGATCTACAGCCAAAACTGTAATTTGAGATATTGTTCCGACTAGAGTTTGATATACAGTCAATTAATCTTTAATTTAGATTTTGGTCTATACACCAAGCATTAGCTTGATCTATAGTCTAGACTATATAGTGATCAGACTATGGATCAGACTATACATAGTTTGATCTACAGCCAAAACTGTAATTTGAGATATTGTTCCGACTAGAGTTTGATATACAGTCAATTAATCTTTAATTTAGATTTTGGTCTATACACCAAGCATTAGCTTGATCTATAGTCTAGACTATATAGTGACCTATATTCCATGGAAAATTCTGAAATTTCAGTACTTTTTAATATCGAATAATACTGCGGTACCCCCACGTCATTTTCTCTAGTTTTCCTAGTACACATACTAATCAATGGACCAGTGTATAGTCCACTTTATAGTATAGTCTATAATCTATAGTATAATCTATAATCTAGTCTAGACTGTATTCTAGTCTATAATCTAGTCTAGAATGTATTCTAGTCTATAATCTTGTCTAGACTGTATTCTAGTCTATGGTAGACTATAGACTAGACTATAGACTAGACTATATAGTCTAGTCTATAGTCTAGTCTATAGTCTAGTCTATAGTCTAGTCTATAGTCTAGTCTATAGTCTAGTCTATAGTCTAGTCTATAGTCTAGTCTATAGTCTAGTCTATAGTCTATAGTCTAGTATAGTCTAGTCTATAGTCTAGTCTATAGTCTAGTCTATAGTCTAGTCTATAGTCTAGTCTATAGTCTAGTCTATAGTCTAGTCTATAGTCTAGTCTATAGTCTAGTCTATAGTCTAGTCTAGTCTAGTCTATAGTCTAGTCTATAGTCTAGTCTATAGTCTAGTCTATAGTCTAGTCTATAGTCTAGTCTATAGTCTAGTCTATGTCTAGTCTATAGTCTAGTCTATAGTCTAGTATAGTCTAGTCTATAGTCTAGTCTATAGTCTAGTCTATAGTCTAGTCTATAGTCTAGTCTATAGTCTAGTCTATAGTCTAGTCTATAGTCTAGTCTATAGTCTAGTCTATAGTCTAGTCTATAGTCTAGTCTATAGTCTAGTCTATAGTCTAGTCTATAGTCTAGTCTATAGTCTAGTCTATAGTCTAGTCTATAGTCTAGTCTATAGTCTAGTCTATAGTCTAGTCTATAGTCTAGTCTATAGTCTAGTCTATAGTCTAGTCTATAGTCTAGTCTATAGTCTAGTCTATAGTCTAGTCTATAGTCTAGTCTATAGTCTAGTCTATAGTCTAGTCTATAGTCTAGTCTATAGTCTAGTCTATAGTCTAGTCTATAGTCTAGTCTATAGTCTAGTCTATAGTCTAGTCTATAGTCTAGTCTATAGTCTAGTCTATAGTCTAGTCTATAGTCTAGTCTATAGTCTAGTCTATAGTCTAGTCTATAGTCTAGTCTATAGTCTAGTCTATAGTCTAGTCTATAGTCTAGTCTATAGTCTAGTCTATAGTCTAGTCTATAGTCTAGTCTATAGTCTAGTCTATAGTCTAGTCTATAGTCTAGTCTATAGTCTAGTCTATAGTCTAGTCTATAGTCTAGTCTATAGTCTAGTCTATAGTCTAGTCTATAGTCTAGTCTATAGTCTAGTCTATAGTCTAGTCTATAGTCTAGTCTATAGTCTAGTCTATAGTCTAGTCTATAGTCTAGTCTATAGTCTAGTCTATAGTCTAGTCTATAGTCTAGTCTATAGTCTAGTCTATAGTCTAGTCTATAGTCTAGTCTATAGTCTAGTCTATAGTCTAGTCTATAGTCTAGTCTATAGTCTAGTCTATAGTCTAGTCTATAGTCTAGTCTATAGTCTAGTCTATAGTCTAGTCTATAGTCTAGTCTATAGTCTAGTCTATAGTCTAGTCTATAGTCTAGTCTATAGTATAGTCATAGTGTATCTATAGTCTAGTCTATAGTCTAGTCTATAGTCTAGTCTATAGTCTAG